TCTGGTTCCCACCCGCCCCCCCATACTGGCTCTGGATGTCCTTCCAAACACAGAAATCTGATTACCCCCTGTCACTCAGATGTGACTGAAGACATTCCCATTGGAAACACTTCGTGAATGTCACACAAAAGCTACTGAGTAGAAGGCAATTTAGAGGTGGCCTAGGTGGGTTGGCCGTCCATGGCTTCCTAGAGGAGGCCACACTTTGAAGCCTGAAACCAGAGGGAGGAAGATTGGCAGAAGTGGGGGAAACGGGTGTATGGAGGTTCAGAGGCAGAGCCTAAGTGAAGCTGGAGTATTTTAGGCTGTCAAAATGTCCTGGGTGAGCAGAGTATGATTTGGAGGGGGCAGGAGGTCCTGACCAAAGCACTATTCTGACATCCCAGAATAGAAGACAAAATAGGAGAAATCCCCATCTCTTGGGGTGAGGGTCAACCTCCAGAAGAATCCCACAAGCAACCACTTCCCCTTCTGTCAGAGACCCTGGTTATCTGAAGAGCCACCTCTGCTGTGCTCAGCCCATCCCAATCTCAGATGATGGGTGTCTGAGCCAGTGTTTACCAGTCAGCATAATCTATCCCTTGTGATCACAAATGTTGGTTCAGGGTTAGTGTTCTGTTTCAACCCCAACTAGTGTACTGAGGTTCAGTTCTGGCACTAAGTGCCCAGAGTTAATTCAGACTCCACAAATTAAGGGCTCGGTCCGCCCCAGACTGAGTCCCCCAGTCATCTTCACTTCTGACCAACTTGCTACAGATCTGGAGTTTCCCATGACCCCCTTCCCCCTCAGGTATGATAATTTGCTAGAACAACCCACAGAATGCAGGAAAACACTATACTTAAGATCACAGTTTTAGAGTAGAGAATACAAGTCAGGAACAGCCAAATGAAGAAAGACATAGAGTGGGGTCTGAGAGACCTGGTTTCATTTCTTAGGCACAATTGATTAAATCATTGCCACGTGACTGAACTCAGTCTCTAGGTCCCCTTCCCCTCCCTGGAGATCCAGCTGCCTCAAAACGCCAACCCTGTGGGACACCTGACTGGCTCAGTCAGAAGAACAGGTGACTTTTGATCTCAGGGGTTGTGAGTTCAAGCCCCACAATAGGTGTAGAGATTACTTCTATACATACATACGTACGTACATACGTACATAAATCTATCTTTTAAAAAAATCCCAACCCTCTCATCTCCAGGATAGTCTTTCTGGTGACCAGCCCTTATCCTGAAGCTATCTAGGAGCTTGCCATCAGTTACCTCATTACCTAAAACTTGGGTGTGATCTAAGGTGCACTTCTGTTACTTGGTAAATTCCAAGTACTTGTAAAGTTATGTGCCAGGAAGCTGGGACAAAAACCAAATTCTTCATTATACCCGGTGACCCAGGCGGAGCTGATGAGACTCAATCCTGTTGCGTTTGCTGGAGCCATTGAGAAAGCTATGATCTTTTTCTACTACGAATGTTAAGCTAGTAGGATGTATGCTTGGAGCTGCTGGTTGCCATTTTGCTACCTACGAGGGGACAATCTGCCTAAGAATTAAGACAGTCCAGAGGAAAGCAGAGCTAAGAGACTGAGACCAAGTTCAAATGGACATTATTTGAACCTCTGGCTTCAGCCACGCCTGAAGTCATTCTACCTCGGATTTTTCAATTCTGTGAGCCTCTTTTCATGTTTAAGCTACCTTAAAGTGGGAGTGGATGGGGGGGTTCCATTACTGGTAGCTAAAAGCATCCTATCACATACCCTGTTCCTGAGGAACACGTGTTTCTCCCTTTTACATTAATACATTGGCTTAATGTGGGCCCTGGGTCCTACCATTCCCACCTACCCCAAACCTCTCTCCTCCAATGACTATCCTCTCTACTGGCTCCTTTCCCTTTAGACTTTCCACATGATCAGGTCTCCCTCAGGACAGCTCTCCATACTCCTCCTCCCGTTTCTTCATCTTCCATTCATTCCTCAGTCCACTACCATTTGGCTTCTGCTTCTACCACTTCCTTAAAATTACTCTCACCAAAGTCCCGAAACAGTGTTAGTTGATGAGGGATAGAAGCAGAAAAATATTCACCTTTAGCCCGGAAAGCTGACCTAAACCCTGAATAGCTCCGATAAGGATCAAATACGTGCTGGCTGCTACATTCTAAAGAGTCTCATGACTGTCCGTACGTGTCACCGATAGTTAATACCCAACTGAACGATAAGCACCAGAGAAATCTTGTGAAAGTAGTTTTACGAGTAGAAATTCGAAGAAAACATTTATGATATAATATTCCCTGCACATCCCCTCCCCCTTTGAACACTAAGCATATAACCATCAGCTTCATACAGCAAAGGTGCCGCTCTTTCTGCCCACGCGTCTCGTCCCCATGCTACAATAAAAACACCTTTTTGCACCAAAAACATCTCAAGAATTCTTTTTTGAATGTCCACTCACAGCCCCATATCATTTAGTCATGGATGTTTTCTGCAGGAGACAATGGCAGTGCGCTGGATCCTTTTTTAATCATTTGCCTGTGATGTGTCTGACCAAGTGCCCCTACACATGCACACATTCTATGCTCCTACCCCCACCCCCGGTCTTTGTTGTATGGTTCCTCTTCCAACAGTCAGCACGTCCAGGTTTTTTTTCTGTTTTGGAGGAATGCCCCCAGGCTACTGGAGGCTTTGCCTTGATGAATCGACGTCTCCGAGAGTGTCGCTTGGTCAACAGCTGAGGCATGTCGGTATATGAAAGGCCCCATCCCCTTGTTTCTGGACAAATCTGACACATAACTTTCATCCAGAGCTCCCCTGCAGGATCAAATTGAACTACTCTTTGCCTGAGATCACACGTTTGTTTGGTTTCCTCTCCTTCCCTCTCCTGCTTCTCTCACTCTCTTACTGGTTTCTTCTGGTAGCACTGTTTGACGAAATCACTTGCACACAAATCCTCATCTCAAGGTCTGCTTCTGAGAAACCTGACCCAAGACACCATCTCAGCACTTCCTGCTCCGCTTTTGCTGCCTACCTGATTAAATGTGGCTTGTTTTCCAGAATTAGGTCCTGGGCCCTATTCTCTCTACAGATATTGTTTGGACAATTTCACTCATGTCCATGGCTTCAACCACTACTCACTTCTGATCATCCCCAAACTCCTTTATGCAGCTAGACTGTAGCTCCCTCTCTGCTGGACAGCTCCACCTAGCTGTCCACAGACACCCCCTGTGCTAATGCCCTAGTCACTAGCCACGTGGCTATTTTAATTAATTAAATTCCGTTCCCTAGTCCCACCAGCCACATTTCAAGTGCTCAAGAGCTACCTATGGCTAGTGGCTACCACACTGGATAGTGTCGATATAGGACATCTGTCATGGCAGAAAGTTTTATTGGACAGCTTAGACACGTTTCCAAACCTAACTCACCATCACCAGACCCTTGCCTTTCTATATTCCTCAACTGCGTCTCTCTCCTAGAAACAGTGGGCAGAAACTACAGAGAAAGGGTGCATAAGGGCTTCAGGGGGGAGGGAGGGGACCACAGAACGAGAGTCTTTTCCATTGATATCTTCCTCTGAACTGGGAAGATGGATGGGCAAAGATGGTGATGAAGACCTTAACAAAGGCCATCTGTGAGCTGATCTTAGATTGGTTAGAACAGGAGGAGAGCTGGGGGACGAGGGCTGGCTAGGCCAGAACTTGCCCTCCACAATGAAGTTTTCCAACTCCACCCAGCCTCAGCCTTGAATAAACGTTCTTGTGTGAATTAGGGCCTTTATCCATCTCCAGTCTCTTGTGTTCCAGGATGAGTATCTGATCGAAGCCAATCAGCTGGGGGGGGGGGGGTCCAGTTCTGGAAATTTTATTGCAAATCTCAGAAAAGAAGCAGGTTCCTTCTACTTGAGTTAAGCTATTAGGACTTCAGTTTGGAGCCATGTAAAGCCATTTTGCCACTGAGATAGGCCTACCTGTGAGTGAAGCCAAAGGCATGGGGAAAGCGGAGGCTAGAGAAGGTGAACCACAGGTTCCTCACAGCTTTTGGCTTTTTTTTCCAGCTGTTCCTGAAGAAGCTCAATCCGTTTTTTTTCAATTGCTTCAGCCAAGATTCCCCTATTCCTTAGGCCAGTTGGAGTTGGATCAGTGACAGACCTTACTCTTGCATCTCTTGGCTTCTTCTCGTTGGTTTGGAATTGTCCCTGCTTATGATTTCAACGACTCTCTATACCTTAACGATTCCCAATGTATCTGGCCTTGATGTGTTTACTGAGCTCCAGATCGTACGTCCACCTGCCCCCTGACGTCCCACAGGCACGCCCAAAGTGATCTCCTTATTTCTGCCCTCTATCTTTATTTCCCGTCTCAGATGGAACCTACTAGACCTCCAGGCCCTTTGCTCAGAGAAGCCAAGGTCGTAAGTTCAGGCTCCGCCTCTTCGCGGGGCCTCAACCAAGGTCACCCGCGTCTTCCCTCGCTGGGCTCGTTGGGGGCAGTGTCCGCGAACCCCTCAGCCGCAGGGCCAGGCGCTCTAGGCAGCGGCGGGCCCTGCAAAGAGCCGCCTCATCTCGCTGGTTTCCGGTACCCGGCGGCTACTCTAGCCTACAGCAGGGACTCTATCCCCTAAGCTGGCTTCTCTACGGCTGACACCTCTCCTTTGTGCCGAGTTTCCTCCGGGAGGGCACCTGGTGGGAACCCCTTCCCACGGTGGCTTTTGCGGTCCCTTCTAGGTGCAACCGGAGAAGCCCCTGAGCGTCCAGAGAATCCCCACCTCTCAGGCCTCGAAGGGTTTGCGCGGAATACGAGGATGGCGGCAGTGAGTGTTTAGGTGCCCTTCCCTCTCGCCGCTCCTCTCTATGGTCGCTTCCTTCGGTGACGGGAAAAGGGGTCCCGGCGCCTGCGCAGAGGCGGCCGGGGAGCTAGTCGCGGAGTGCGGGGGGAGGGGCAGGGAGCGGGAGCTGCCGCCGCCGCCGGAGCAAACCGCGGGGACCGAGATGCAGGTGGGACCGGAACCGGAACCCCCCTCTTCAAGTACCTCTTCCCTCTCCGCGACCCGGCCCCGGCACCTGAGAGGAGCCCTGGGTGGGGGCGGGCGTAGGGGGGCCAGAGGCGGGGGCGGTGCTCGGCTCCGCAGAGTGCTGCGGACCGGGCTGGTCCCGAGGCGGCTGCGGCCCCGGGGAATGGGTGGGTCGAGGGTGTCCAGGGAGTAGGAGCGGGTCGGAGTGCACTGACCACCGAGCCCAGAGGGTCCGAGCCGGGAGCGGAGCCTGCACCCTCCACCACCCGCCCTTCGGGAAATTTCAGAACTGAGCCAAGAGGCAGGTGCACCGGGAAAATGTGTCTGACTCCTGCTTGGCAGAAGAGAAACTGAGTCACCAGCTCAGGAGCCGCAGGGTCAGCGGGCCTGAAGGGGGCTGGGTCTGCCTGTGTTGCAGAGGGTTGGGTGGGCCTGTGTGAGCTGAGGTGGCCTCTGCCTGGAGATTGGTCTCCCTGCTGTGTCTGCACTTCTTGGCTCGGTTCCCCTGTGCTCCATGACTCTTGCATCTCTTGGCTTCTTCTCATTGGTTTGGAATTGTCCCTGCGGTTGGAGTCATCTGAATGTGTAGGGTCTAGGCCAAGGAAGAAGGGGAGGGGTCGCTGATTGTCGGTCTGAGCAGGAGTCTGAGGTTTGGGGAGACTTTCTTGAGCTTCCCACACCCCCCCCCCAAGTCCTGGTGCCAGTCATCTTCCAGTATAATATGGGGGAGGAACACTAACAAAGAGCCATGGGTTATAAATGCCATGCCCAGCCCTGCCACTTGCTAGTTGTAAGATCTTGGGAGCCCTCTTCTTTTTTCATTTCTCTTTTAGAAGGATTGGAACCCATAAAGATAGTAATAATGGCGGCGGTTTATTGTGTGCTTACTTTGTGTCGAGCCCTGACATGTTCCATTTAATTCTCCCAACGATTCTATGGGTTAGGGATCATTAGCTCTGCCTTATAGCTATAAATCTGCACTTCAGAGAGGACATATAATTTGTTCCAGATCACCCAGCTAGTAGGTGGCAGAGCTGGGATTTCATCCCGAGTCCGACTCCAGATCCCATAGCCTTAACCACCAGGCTAACCAGCCTTTAGGGCACACTCCCCAGTGAAAGAAGAGGAAGTGAAAAAGCCTAGGGCCCCAGCTCCCTGTTATGTTTTATTTACTTTGTGGCCAACAGAGACTTGCTCTGACCCAACCCACAGTCTTTCCCCGCCTGGTGCTGCTGCCTCTGGGCCCCAGGCTGAAGGCACCAAAGAAGCGGGCTGTGACCATTCCGAGCCTCAGTCACACCGTGCCGGGGTGCTGGGCCCTGGGGTCCGCCTTCAGGACAAGTGTGGTTTCAATCCATCATCCATCCATCCTCCTTCCTGAGCAGCCTCCCTCCTCAGAGCTGGACCTCAGGATCCCCTGAGACAGGGTCTGTAAGTGCTACAGACCTAGCTCCCCTGAGAGCTGGGGCAGTGAGGGGCCGTGCCTGAGGCCGGGGCAGCCAGTCCCTGGGGACGAGCACTATGCAGTGGGCAAAACCGTGGGCTTGGAGTTCTGAAACTTTTCTGAGCTTCGGGTTCCTCATCTGTTGTCAAGGTTATTAAAGCCTGTTGCAGGGAAAGGTAAGAACAGCACATGGGAAGCATGTGATAAATCTTGAAGGACCTGTTTTAGAGAAGGGAGGTGGCGTGAGTGATAAAGATTCCTTTTTAGAGGAAGGTGCTCCACGGCCGTCTGTCACTCCTGGAACCCGAGCCAAGGGGAGTGGGGTTGGGAAAGCAGCAGGGAAGGTGCGGGGCTGGACCCCGGGGAGCCAGCGGACTGCGGCGTGTGTGTGTGTGTGCGGTGTGAGGATCTGGGAAAGGGAAGGGGGGGTCGGTGTGGTGTTCCCCATGGCTCTCCAAGGAGTCCTGACCAGAGTGGGGAGTCCGGCTGGGGGCGGGGCTCGGCCCCCAGTCCCCCCTCAGCAGTGACTCGGTGTATGTGCCTCTCTCTTCCTTCTGCAGCTGCTGCCGCTCACCCCGTGTCTTCTGGCCGCTTCCCTCTTTGCTGCCCCTCCCCACAGGCTCCCCCTCTCCGCCTCCTGGGGACCGTCATGAATGGTGCCCCTTCCCCGGAGGATGGGGCCTCCCCCTCTCCTCCGCCTTTGCCACCACCCCCTCCTCCTAGTTGGCGGGAGTTCTGCGAGTCCCATGCCCGGGCTGCTGCCCTGGATTTTGCCCGCCGTTTTCGCCTCTACCTGGCCTCCCACCCCCAGTACGCAGGGCCCGGGGCTGAGGCTGCCTTCTCCCGCCGTTTTGCTGAACTCTTCCTGCAGCACTTTGAAGCTGAGGTGGCCCGGGCCTCCGGCTCCCTCTCGCCACCCATCCTGGCTCCCCTGAGTCCTGCTGCGGAGATCCAGCCACATGACCTGTCCCTTGAGAGCTGCAGGGTGGGCGGGCCCCTGGCTGTGCTGGGCCCTTCTCGATCATCTGAGGACCTGGCCGGCCCCCTCCCTTCCTCAGTCTCTTCCTCTTCTACGACCTCCTCGAAGCCGAAGCTAAAGAAACGCTTCTCCCTCCGCTCAGTGGGTCGCTCCGTCCGCGGTTCAGTCCGCGGCATCTTGCAGTGGCGGGGGACGGTTGACCCTCCCTCCCCGGCCGGGCCCCTCGAGACCTCATCAGGCCCCCCAGTCCTGGGTGGAAACAGCAACTCCAACTCCTCTGGTGGGGCCGGGACCATTGGCAGGGGACCGGTTAGTGATGGAACATCCCCTGGGGACCGATGGACTCACCGATTTGAGAGGCTGAGACTCAGTCGGGGAGGGGGGGCCTTGAAGGATGGAGCAGGGATGGTGCAGAGGGAAGAGCTGCTGAGTTTCATGGGGGCTGAAGAGGCAGCCCCTGACCCAGCTGGAGTGGGCCGGGGAGGAGGAGGGGCAGCTGGGCCTACCTCAGGGGGAGGAGGGCAGCCTCAGTGGCAGAAGTGTCGCTTGCTGCTCCGAAGCGAAGGAGAAGGCGGAGGAGGAAGTCGTCTGGAGTTCTTTGTACCGCCCAAGGTGAGGCCCCGAGGAGGGCGGGTGACTGGGAGCGGACCATTGAGCCACCAGAGTGGAACAGCCCATGTGCTTAGCCTTGCTCGCTTGGGTTTGGTTCGGTTTAGTTTTGTTTTATTGCTCACTTTGGTTTTTAAAGCTAGCTCTTGACGCTGGGGTAGTAGCTGTGGGCAGGACTGGAAAAGTAGTGCTAGGACCCTTTGTCTAACTCCCTTAGAACAGAGAAGGAAAGATGACAGATCTCTGGAGGGAAGTGAGAGGTGGTCCCCGCACACCAACAGTTTGGATCTTGTTCTCTTTCCCCGCCCAGGCGTCTCGGCCTCGACTCAGCATTCCCTGCTCTACCATCACGGACGTGCGGACAACCACAGCCCTGGAGATGCCTGACCGGGAGAACACGTTTGTGGTTAAGGTAGGAGCTCTGGGCTCCTGCCCTCGTGGAGCGCTTGTGCTGGGGAGCAAGCTCGTGGAGCAGGTTGAAGCCAGGGCCTTCGTGGAAAGAGGTGCCTTTGTGTCCAGGGCCTGGAGAGCGTGTCCCTGGGGCTGTAGCTTCCCCGGGAGGAGGGAAGAGGGGGAGGATGTTCTCGTTCTCCTTAGGGTTGGCTTACGGCCCCTGGACCTGGAAGTGGCCTGTGGGCCTCCTCTTGTCCCCCTAGGTGGAAGGCCCCTCGGAGTACATCCTGGAGACAGCCGATGCTCTGCATGTGAAGGCCTGGGTGTCTGACATCCAAGAGTGCCTGAGCCCGGGGTGAGGAGCCTGCCTGCTGTCACCGAGGGACCCAGGTGGGGCGGGGGAGCAGCCTGGGGCCTCTCACCCGCTGGGTTTCCTCACAGCACCGTGTCCCCTGTCGCTGTCTCCGCAGACCCTGTCCCGCCACCAGTCCCCGCCCCATGACCCTCCCCCTGGCCCCTGGGACCTCATTCCTTACAAGGGAGAACACAGACAGCCTGGAGCTTCCCTGCCTCAATCATTCAGAGAGTCTGCCCAGCCAGGATCTGCTGCTGGGAGCCAGCGAGAGCAACGACCGCCTGTCACAGGGTAAGGGCGGAACTTCAGAGGGCTGCGGACCTTGGAGCCCACACCAGGCCTGGGCCCCTCTCCCCCAGCTCGACCGTGCACCCCATTCCTGCCCCTCAGCTGCCCACCCCTTCCCACCGAATGTCTCAACTTGTCCCAGGACGTGCCACGCCACAGACGGCCACTCAGAACCATCCCCATCCCCGCTTTGCATGAGCCCCATGCCAGCTCCCTTCCAGCCTTCTGTGCCTGGCCTTTCCTCCTTTTCCATAAGCCTCGTGCAGACCTCCGCTCTGGCTGGAGGCAACAGCTCTCTTTCCCAAGCTTCTGGAGCACTTCGTTCACATATTTGTTTTGCTTTTACTCTGCATCTCTGTACGTACGTCGTTGCTATCAGAGCTAGACTCTACTTCTTGGCCTGACACGCACAGGCCCAGCCATACACGCCCAGAGACATGCGTCCCCCTGGCCCAGCTCACCTTGCCAGATGCCACTATCCCCTTTGTCCTGCTCCTCTGTTCTGGTTTAGGTTTCGTGGTGCCAGGCACCCTGGCTGTGCTCACGGAGTAAACAAATGGACTGAAGAATCTTGGAGCTAGGAGGGACCTCACAAGTCCCCTCATTTCCATTCGCCTCAGGCGGCCAAGACCAGGGAGGGGGAGATGGCTTTTCGGAGGGCACCTGAGAGGCCCTGACAAAGACTGGGGCTGTGCCAGTCTGCTCCCTGCCCCCCTGCTCTCCGGACCCCACACACAGCTACGGCGTTCCCGTGGGCTTGGGCCTGCCTGAGTACATACCTGACCCGGAGCTAGGCTCTGGGGCAGGTTGGGGAAACCCGGAGATGCCTGAGACGCGCTTCCTGTCCTCTCTGTGGGCTCCCAGTCTAGCTGAGTTATCAAGCTATCACTCCCTCTGGAAAGCAGGACTCCGAAGTGGAGAGCCAGGGCTTAGTGTCCTCTGAGCAGCACAAGCGGGAAGCGCCTTGGGAGCTCAGAGGAGGAAGAGAATCGGGGAAGGTGGAGTAGACAGCATACCGCACAGGGGAGGTGAGAGTAAAGAACAGGGCTTGGAGGAAGGAAGCAGATGGCCAGAGCACAGCCGCGAGGTAGGGAGAGCCCTAGAGCTTTGGGAGCATCAGGACGATCAGGCTCCCGCAGAGGCTCCGGGAATACAAACTAACGTGAAAGTCAGGGTGGTTGGGTTGGGCCAATTAATAGAAGGAGGATCTCTGATGCCTCTGAGAGTTGGGGACTTCGTCCTATAGGCCAAAAAAGGATGCTTTTTAATGCGAGAATACTTGAGGTGACTCTCTCCTGTAACAGTCACTGTAATTTCAGCTGTTGATTCAGGTAAAACGGGCAGGTTTGGATCCCAGGACGTCCTTGCAGTAATGCTGCGGCCACTTAGCAGTGCCTGGAGCCTCAGGAGTCGGTCCGACTGACGGGCCAGTGCCCGAGGAAGGGGCGGGCACCTCAGCCCGATGACCACCAGCGCACACAGGGTAGTTTCTCCGGTTCTCAACTCCACCCTCCTCCCTTTTTTTCCAGGGGCCTATGGGGGCCTTTCAGACCGCCCCTCGGCGTCCATCTCCCCCAGTTCCGTCTCCATTGCTGCTTCCCATTTTGACTCAATGGAACTGCTTCCCCCAGAGTTGCCCCCCCGCATCCCCATTGAAGAGGGGCCCCCAGCGGGCACAGTTCATCCACTCGCAGCCCCCTACCCACCCCTGGACACTCCAGAAGCGGCCACAGGTACCAGAGGTGAGAGCGTGTGTCTGCCTCCAGGCCTGGTTGCCCGCCTTCCCGTAACTCTTTGTCTCGGGATCCTGAGGGATCGGACGGGGGTGGCGGGTGGGGGCGGGGAGCGACAGGTGGAGGGAAAGCAAGGCTTCTCTTCTCCCAGGATGGGGGAGGCTTCCCTGACACCCCGGTTTCCCTCCCTCTCTCCTCCCTGAAGGATCATTCCTGTTCCAGGGGGAGTCAGAGGGAGGTGAAGGGGACCAGCCCCTCTCAGGGTACCCTTGGTTCCACGGGATGCTCTCTCGACTCAAGGCTGCGCAGCTAGTGCTAGCCGGAGGCACCGGCTCCCACGGTGTTTTCCTGGTACGGCAGAGTGAGACGAGGCGGGGTGAATACGTGCTCACTTTCAACTTCCAGGGCAAGGCCAAGGTGAGGGAGGAAAAGGCTGTGTTCCCTGCGGGGAGCTTGCTGGGGGTGGCGGTGGGGGGGGGGCGGGTTGGGGGGGGGAACGGGGCCATCCAGGGGAGCCGGGGAGGAGGCTTCTGGAGCGGGCAGGGGCGTGGGCTCCTGCCTCACCTTGCCTGCCCTGCCCTCAGCACCTGCGCCTGTCGCTGAACGAGGAGGGTCAGTGCCGGGTCCAGCACTTGTGGTTCCAGTCCATTTTCGATATGCTCGAGCATTTCCGGGTGCACCCCATCCCTCTGGAGTCTGGAGGCTCCAGTGACGTTGTTCTTGTCAGCTATGTCGTGTCCTCCCAGCGACAGCAGGGTGAGCAGAGCAGGTCTGCAGGGGAGGAGGTGCCCGTGCACCCAAGAAGTGAGGAGGTGTGTGTGCCAGAAAGACGGGGCGGGGGGGCTGTGAGGAGGAGCAGCTTTGTGAGGGAGAGTAGGGTAGCAAAGGTCCCTGGGTGCGGGGCTTTGGAAGGGGGAGCAGGACACTGAGGACGTAGGGAGGCAGCGGGCTCCGTGCCGGAGCCGGGAGGAAGCGGAAGTCGGGTTGGTGCATTCCCATTCCATCAGACCCCCGTGTTCCATCACCTGTGTGTCTCCTGGATCCATCCTCCTCGGCCTCGTCTTTGCCCCTTGTCGGTCTTGCCTTGGGCCTGTTCTTCTTGGGGATGCTTGGTCTGATCCCCCACCCCCCTCCTCCCTTGACGTCTGATGTCCCTGTCTGATCTCTCCTTTTCCCCACCCCGACGTCCCATCTGTCCCCACGTTGCCCCTCCCCCCCCAGGCCGGGAGCAGGCCGGGAGCCATGCAGGGGTGTGCGAGGGAGATCGATGCTACCCCGATGCCTCCTCCACCCTCATGCCCTTCGGAGCGAGTGACTGTGTGTAAGTGTGGTCCCCCTCTCACCGCCGCCCATGATCCATCTTCCATGGCCGGGGGGGGGCGGTGTTGCTCAGGAGATGGGGTGTGGGGGAGATAGCACATGGCTCCTGGGGGGACGAGTGCAGGGGAGGGCCCCGCCAGAGCTGGCCTCCCTCCACAGTCTGTCTTCTTACCGTTCCTATCCAGAACCGAACACCTCCCATGACCCACCCCAGCCCCCTGAGCCCCCTTCATGGACAGATCCCCCACATCCTGGGGCAGAAGAGGCGACGGGGGCGCCAGAAGTGGCGGCAGCAGCAGCCACAGCAGCCAAAGAGAGGCAAGAGAAAGAGAAAGCGGGCTTTGGAGGGGTCCAGGAAGAGCTTGTCCCCATGGTTGAGCTGGTCCCCATGGTTGAATTGGAAGAGGCCGTAGCCCCAGGCGCGGAGGCCCAGGGAGGCGCCGGATCTGGTGGGGCTGCGGGGGCCACTGCGATGGTGCAGCTCCAGCAGTTACCACTAGGGGGCGATGGAGAAGAAGGGGGCCATCCCAGAGCCATTAATAACCAGTACTCTTTCGTGTGAGACACCCTACCCCGCGCTTTCTCCACTCTTCTTGCTCCCCAGCCCTTAGTTGGTGAGATTAGGGCTGGGCAGGGACGGAGAGGAGCGGTAGGAATCCCCGCCCCACGTGCTTCCTGACCCTTGACGGCCAAGGGCATCTGTGTTGGTACAAGAAGAGGCTCAAGAACCCTGTTAACTCCCCAGTTCATACACTACAGGTGCCCCATCCCCTGGGCAGGGGATTTGGGCTCCATTACCTCCCTGACGGGCTGTTATGGTCAGCCCCACCCCTGGGGGCCATTTCCACATTAACCGCCCCCCGGCTCGGGGAGGGGTGAGGGGGAAGGGCTGTCAGTTATATTAAGGTTGTTGTTGTTGTTGTTTTAAACAAAATGGAGAAGCATAAATAAATAAAAGGGTTTATTTCAGTTCCATCACGATGGCTGTGGCCAGTGTTTGCAGTGGGGGCTGGGACAGGCGGGTCAGGAAGGCAGCCCACTCAGTGGTGCCCACTCCAGAGCTGAGAGGCCGGAAGGCTGGGTCAGGTCAAGTGCCCCTGCCCTCCAGCCCCGTGCTTTCGGGTCCATCGCTCCCCTGTGGGCTGTGCCATTGGCTGAGCCAAACAGTGCTTCCCAGGGTCCCCAGCCGAGTTCTCTTAATGGGACAGGACAGTGAGCAGCAGGATCGGCAACCTCTGAGGATCCTTCCTGCTCCGAATCCTTGAGTGAAGGCTTCCCACCCTAGGGAGAAAGCAGGCAGAGACCGCTGGGCCGGGGCTGGGGCACGGTGGCTGTGTTGGGAGAGATGTAATGTGGCAGCCACAGAGCCTGGCTGCAGAGGGGCCCGAGGGCAGGCTGGCTGCCCCCCTTCCTGGGGCCAAGCTGGGAAGCTGGAGGGTAGATACAGAAGAACATTGGCTTTCATTCCTGGCTTTTCCTCTCCTTTGCTGTTTGGCCTTGGCAAGGTGTTAGCCTCTCTAGGCCTCAGTGTCCTCATCTGTCAAGTGGGAAGTTTTATCTGGGTTGGTGCTGCGGACATGATCTGCTTGGCCTGGATAGCGTTTCCGTTAGGATTTCCCACAGAAGTTCAGATTACCGGCTTCTGAAAATCCGAAGACCCAGCCTCACGTGCTCTGCCTTCCACCTTCCACCTCTGCTCCATCCCCACTGGCCCACTGAGGTCACGTGACCTCGGCCCCATGGGGATGAGCTTGCAACATCCCCCACCCCCTTGCAGCACCCCATCCAGCCCAGGCTCTGCTCTCTGAACTGAACTGCAGCCATGCCCTCCAGCGGAGGGCACCCTTGGGTTTCCCAGCTCTGTGAGTGGTGGGTGCCCACAAGGAGGGGCCAGGTTCTGAAAAATCCCACCTGTTTTGCTTGGCCCGCTCCCTTCCTCACCACCCAGGGCTGCCTCTCACCTTCCTTCCCAGGCAGCATGGGGCCTATATTCTCGCACCCCTCAGCCACTGTTCCCACCTCCAGGAGGCCCTAGCCATGCTTATGACCTTGCTATTCTGGGCCTTGCGTCCTGTTGGGAGATGGACAGGAGACAGCTGGGCTCACAGGCCACCCAGGCTGGGGGCTAGCCGGGGGAAGCCTGCTGGCTCTCCCAGTTTTGTCTAATCCCTGGGGCTCCCCCAAACCTTGACCTCAGGAGACTGGGGATAGAACTGGCCTTGCAAAGGAGGGGATGGTTTGGGGAGCTGGATGCTGTGTTCTGGAAAAGGAGGTGGTGAGTGAAGGCTCTGACGCCCCAGGGTAAGCAGGACCTGATCCCCTCCTAATCTAGCAGCAGCTGGTGCTGCGAGGCTCCCCTTCCCCCGAAACCCTGCCAGCCTCAGGGACTTGCCTCCTGAAGGGGGGTGGGGGAGGGGGCCAAGGAGCATCCCCCCCGCCACCCCAAGATGTGCATGCCTTGGCTGGAGGAGCCTAAGAGACTTTCCCTCTAAGCCTCCCTTTAAGGATGGTTGAGCTGAAGTTCGGGACCTGTCAGGGACTGGCCAGGCTCTATGCCCCTGTCCTTCAGAACCAGGCTTCTCCCATTCCCATCTGCAGCCCTCCTAGGAGGGGAGGAACACCTTGGAGACCCCCGGGGGAGGGGACCAAGAACCAGTGCCTTCTTCCATCCCGGTCCACAACCCCAGCCTCCCCCGTCCTCCCCCCTGACGCCCCCGCCTTCTGCAGCTCCAGTTGGGTGGCTGTCCCTCTCTGGCTTCAGCTTCTCCTCTGGGAAGTTGGGGGAGGTGGGGGGGGTCACCTTAAAGGGCCCCGCTGGCGGCAGCATGCTGTAAAGCCTGCCTCCTGTCCTCAGCCTCCTGCTCTCAGCTCCCCTGAAGCCTCAGTCCCTCCAGTCTTCTCCCCCTTCTCCATGTTTGGGCATTCCTGTTCCTTTCAGACAGCGCCCCGGTCACTCCTCCAGGTGGTGGCAGGGAGAAGCCAGAGAGCACCAAAAGGCCTGGCAGATGCTGAGCCTGACTCTGGCCTAAGAAGGTGGGTGCTGGGCCAGATGGAGGTGCCTGTGGATGTGACCCCATTGTCTGAGCCCCCCTCCTCAGGTCACAGCTCAAGGGAGGGGTTTGTGGGAACCATGAAAAGGAGGAGGGAAGGAGCACCAAGTCCTCAACTCACCCAGGAGGCTCCCCTCCCTCCCCCCGAGGCCAGGCAGAGGAAGGGATAAATATGGGGGGCTAATTCCTTAAGTGCCATCCACCCCTGCTGGCCTGCCTGTTCCCCAAAGTGAGGCTTCCCTTTCCTTCTCCCGCCGTCTCCTCTGCCATCATCTGCTCAGGAACTTGAGCGCCTGGAGAACCCTTTCAGTGGCCCACACTCCTCTGACTGTCCAGCTTAGGAAGCTGAAGGCCTGGACGCAGGAAGGACTTGAGGCTCCTTCCTCCCCTCCCTGATCTTCCACTGTTAACTCTCATTGAAACTCTCTGCTCTCTCTGCCCCCCTTTCCTCCCCTGCCCACAGCCCAGGCTACCCTGGGTCTGCTCCTCCAGCAGCTGCCCTGGTAGTAACCAAAAGATGCCCCCATCCAGGAGCAGGGGTGGGGGTGGGGGGCTCAGAGCAGCTGCTTCGACGAGGAAGCTGACACCAAGGCCAGCCGCTCGGCAGCAACTCGTGGCTTTGCACCCAGCCCTGGGCCCCCACCCACCTGGCTGCCGCACGCCAGCTCCCTTGCTGTCCCTTTTCCCCACTGCTCCCCAGACTTCCCTCTGACCCTGGCAGCCCTGTCTCTCTTTCCCCAGCTCTGTTCTGTCCTTATTTCCCCTAGACCTATCCCCATCCATCTGCCCCCTCCCCACTCCTTTGGCCCGGAGCCTCTGCTCTATCCAGTTTCCCAGCCCCCTTTCCTTGACACCCACCCCTTCTTCCCTTACGCCTCTTCCCGTGGGGTATGCCCAGCACCTGAGCACGCAGCCTCTGGTCCTCTCTCCCCTGGAGGAGATACTTCAGGGCCAGGGCGGAGTGTGGACTACACACCATCTGGGGTCTGCCGTGTGAACCCCTTGAGTTAACACAGTGGGGGATGAGGCCCTCATTCCAGGACTTGGGGTGACTCCCGCTCCCATCCTGAAACATTGATCTTTCCCCCTCTGCCATCAGCACATTCTGTAGCCTCTTGGATTACCTGGCTGCCCGGGTATCCCATTTTCTTGGGGGGGGGGATTCCCTGCCAGGGATGGAGGGGCCCCTGAAGGCTATATTTCCTGAGGCCGAGTTAGAGCGATGGGGGGGGTAGTTTGGGGGAGAGACAGGCAGTCCTGGCTTTGCTCACCAGGGCTTGGACACTAAATCCCTTGTTGATGGCTGCAGCAACCCCTCCCGAGGGTAGGGTTACTGTCTTCTGCCCTGTCCCCTTGACCCTCGCCCCTCCCTACTTCCCCTTGTCCCTCTAGAGCCATTTCCTCTGGCCCCCAAAGGCTGTTGTCCCCCTCTCCCGTCCCCTGAAGGTTGGAGTATCTGCTGCCCTTTCAGCAAACCGGGTGAGGAAGGAGACTGGCAACAGAAACAGGTTGAGAGTGGGTGGGTTGGGAGGGAGTAGGGGAAAGAGAAAGGTGGAGGCCAGGGCGTAGGAGGGCGAAGAACTGCAGGGATGACTTTGGAACAGGAAATTCGGTACAACTGAGAGAGGGGTCAGCAAAACACAGACAGTGAAGTCTCTCCCTGCCCCCGCTTCCCCGGGGCTGGGGCCACCTTAGCTTCCCTTATGAGTGACATCTCAGGCTGCAGCCCCACTGTTCCCCCTCTGTCAGCAGAAATATCTTTCTTCTGACCCCTCCTGCCAGAGTCTCAGCCAGCCAATCCCTGATCTGGGGGGGGGGAGCCTGGCCCCCCCTACTCCCTCATAAGGACCAGCTGGGGGTTGGGGGGGGGTGGCCGGCTGGTGCAAGTGGGACGGGGGTCAGAGTTTCGTGGAAGGAAGAAAAACGTGGGGGGGGGCAGGAGAGAAAAGCAAGAACCCCAGACAAACAGGCAGGTGTACACTGAGGAAGGCCCCCGAAGCGTGAGAATCACCCCCAGAAGGAGCGCACCACCCCCTGGCCCCCAGGAAGGGAGCACAATGGAGGCTGCACACTCCAAGACCACAGAAGAATGTTTGGCCTATTTTGGGGTGAGCGAGACTGCAGGCCTTAGCCCGGACCAAGTGAAGCGGCATCTGGAGAAATATGGCCCCAATGGTAAGTGTCTCTTGGAGGAGAGGCCAGTAACGCCCTCTTGCTCCCCCACAACACAAACACATACACACACGCACACACTGGAGTCTCTCCCTCCAGAGTACCTTGGGGACGAGCTGGGCCATGGTCCAGTGACTGCAGGGGGTAAGAGGATACTGACAAGACAAGGTCCCTGAGACTCAGAGTTTTGGGAGGTTTATGGGATGACCTTGGTGAACCTCAGATGCCCTTTTGGTGGCCTGATTCTCTTACCTTAGCCAGAATCCTGGGTGTGGGAGGCATTAGACTGAACCCCAAATGAATATGTCCTTTTCTTCTTTTTTCCCTGGGTAGAGCTCCCTGCTGAAGAAGGTAAGTTACTGGAATCCCTAAGCTCTCTTAATGACCCCCCCTCCCCGCCAACCGTGCCCCACTCCCTTCTCCCCACCTTCTCCCTACTGACTCCTGAGGCAAATACCCTCCCCAGAGGTTAGAGTCCGGCTGGGGACAGGAGTTTCCAAGCACTTTCTCCGTGAGGCCTCCAGCCCTTGAGCAACTAACTGCCCACTACCACTTTGAGGAGCCTGTTTCTGGACTCCTAGTGAGCTCCCTCAGTCCCCTCTCAGTACCAAGAGGCCTGCTCATCACCCCAGAACCTTCCTGCTCAGGCTGGAAGTCAGGCCGCTCTCAGGCCCTGGATCCCAGCCTGCACTTAAGAGTCCCGGCCATTCATCCGCCAGACCTTAACCCGTAGGGGCCCCCTCCCCTGCCTCTGC